TACAAAAAATAATATATCAATATTGTATGAAACTTGTGTAGATAAAAAAGTAAAATCTCTAGCAAAAATCTACAATTTTAAATGTTAAACATCATAGAATACAATTTTTGATAAAGAGACTAACCTTAAAAATAAAGAAAGAAAAGAGAAAAACATTTTCATTCAAAATATCCATTTCTGTCAGACTAAAATATACAGAACAAATATTATAAATGTAGTATTGAAGTGTAATAGTTTATGTGCTTAGTTATGAAAATAAAAAAGTAAAAAATAAAAAATAAAAAATCCACATGAATGGAAAAACTGGCACAAGTCATAAGAGAAGGCAAAAATAACATCCTTAAGAATATGTTACAAATATGTTGCTTCTTGTAGTTAGATGTAACTACCTTCCAACTAGACAAAACGTAGAGATTTTATCTTCGGCGTCTGTACGTCAATATCCAATTTCCCACTGTCGTTGCACACTTCTCTTTGTCTTCTATTTTTCTTAGACACCAAAGCCATTTTTATACCTATACTCAATACATACATTTCTTCTATATATTCGATATAAGTAAACATAGTTCGATATTATAGAAAAAGTTCAAAAGAATCTTCACATACATAGAAACGAATAAACAAACATGCTAAATAATTTATTTGGTATATTAAATTATTTTTCCTCATTGTGGCACATTTTTGTGCCTAAAGACAATTCGTATAATACAAAGGCAAGATCTCTCTCTCTCTCTCTCTCTTCCTCACATTGTTGAACATTCATAGACGAAAGTCGACACATTTTTATTTGCAATCCTTTTTTCCGTTTTTTAGGTGTATGCATGTCTTATGGTCATTTAATTTTTTTCGTAACCTAAGATGATCATGACCAAGCGTAAATTATAATGTAAGCAAAAAATAAAAAATAAAAATATACTATTGTCTACACATTTCGTAGGACAAAACATACAATTTACTAACCACTTATTATTCACGCATTTCATCGGACCCGAAGCTTATAAGTACTACCAAACAAGCATAGCATGCAACTTATGAATATAGTAAGCAAAAAGAGTTCCTAACACAAAAAAGAAAAAAGAAAAAATAATTACATTGTAAGAAATTATCAATTGATGTTGAAGAACTATGGTACAAGTGAGCAAATGACAAATTTAAATCCGTAATTGTATTTGCTACGCGGAAATGTGCTCATTGTTTTCGATTATTTTTCAGCTACCAAATGCAATGTTTTAATATTGAATGGGCAAATTGTCTTGAGGCTTACTTCCCAGATTTTCTTTAGTCAATTTACAAGATTTCAACATGAGAATAATGAGTGGTTTACGTGTCAAAATACTCAAGAATAATAATTCTTAACCATCGAATGCTTGGCTCGAGTTATCCATATGTACTGGTACGACCGCACAAGTAGAATACCAATTACAATGTCATGTTCCGCATTGAGTAATAACTATATTTTTTCTTGATTTCCATGGGATTGGTTTATAGAGATATACAAAAATCATATACAGTTAACCATAGAATACATTAAATGGGAAGAAATGATTGAATATTAGTGCCCAAGTCGCATCTTCTTAAAGTTAAAACTATCAAAATAGTCCATCAAAATAGTTCTCTCAAACATCTATCAAGCTCGATCTTAAGTTTGGAAAAGGTTTATTGAAAAAGTTGACTCTAACCAGCCCATTCGAAGATTAAAATAAAAAGATAAGTATAGAATCAAAAAATTATGTCTACGACAGAAGCTAATTTTAGGAATCTTCCAAACTGAATGGCTAGATGAATAGAGCATTTGAAAACATAATGTTTTGACGCGCAAAATTGAAGTGCATACACAATATTTCTACACAAATACATTCAACAGAACTGTGCTATGAAAAGAACAAAGTAGTACCACAGTAAAAAATTTCCTTTGTACATCAAGAAATCATCTAGGATATTTGAAAAGATTGATCGAGAGAGTAGTTTGGCGAGTGAAATCTTTCTATCTAAACTACAATTCTGAAATTTATAAGGAATTCGCAATTTAAATTTTTAGTGGAAAATTATGCATTTTGTTCAATTAAAAAGTTGGGTAAATCAAATCAGTACATGAATTTGTTCAATTTTTTAAATCAGAATTTGAGTAAAACCAAAAAATAAAAAAAAATCATAAATTCTCCACCACCTATCTCTTTGAGTCAAGCTTTGAAGAGGTAAATCACCAACAAGCCCAGTTCTTGATTTACAAGGTTATGCATAGAGCAGATTATGGGAGAAAACCTTCATGGTTAAAAGTGAAAATATTCAAGTTGAAGATTAAAGTTGGAAATAGATTCAAGAACTTGAGAAAGAACATTTCATCAACTCTATCTTCTGTTAAATCTAGAGTTTGCAAAAAAATTAACATTTAGTTGTGAGCTTGGAAGCCCTTGATCCATGGCATGGCAGAGAGGAAGTAGTAATCAAACACCCCCCTACAGCCCAACCCCCAACCAAATTGTTGAGACTTGAGTTGAATTAAGTTTTTCCCTCTATTGTTTCAGAGAAGAAAAATTTGGGATGATAATAAACACCTAGAGATTTCAATTTTTATGCAATGAAGGGGCTGAGTTATCTCTCTCCCCTTAAATCTTCTGATATGGGCTAGTAGTGTAATTAAATCAAATCTAAAGAGAATTAGAAACTCCGCAAGTTATCTTCCGTACCCACATATACCAACCAAATCTCCACCACCACCACCGCCAAATTCCAGCCACCGCAAACCCAACAATTATTATCAGACAAAACCCACGATTAAGAAATACTCACTGACTGACCAAGTGTTAATGGCCCGTAAATCATCATTCCGATTGACTATAAATTTCAAAAATTCACAGTGAAAAAACACGCATTTGAAGGATAACCAGCAGAGAATGGACAGAAGAATTCTCACAGGCCCGTGTAGCTGTGCCAACAAGCCCCGACGGGTGGGGAAGCCGAGTTCTCCGGGGTCGGCGACAGCTATTGCGCGAATGGAAACCTTCGATTTCTTCCTCTCCACTACAACGTCTCTCAAACAGGAAACGATTGTGATGGGGAAAACAGAGACCGAGGGACTGCTGACAGCTAGACCGGCTGCTGAAGGAAACCCTTGTTTTTTTCTCTAACTCTAGATAGAAACCAAAAGGAAAGGAAAGGCGCTATTATTGACGCCTCCCACCCATTATAGGAATGGCTCAACTGATTAACAATGAGCCACTATGTAGTGGTAAAATCTGGCTTATGAGCCAGCCAATAAATTGCGACTTGTAATTGTGGCTTGTGAACAGTACCATCCCACTGCCTCTTTTAATTTGTAGTTAGATATATTTATTTATTTATTTATTTATTTTTATTTTATTTTATTTATTATTTTTTTTTCTTTGGTATCTTTTCGTTTGTTTGTTAGTATTTATTAATTATTTTAATTACAAATAAGTATGATCATTTTCAATGACATTTGACATTCAACAACAAATTCTTGGATTTCCATCTACAATGACTGCAATTGCAATGAAATTGAGTATGTTTAACGTCTAAATTTAAGATTGAGAGGGTGTTTGGAAATCATTTTTATGTAAAAATGCATTTTGAAATAGTAAATTGATGGAAATGTGTGGTTGAAAAATAAGGAAAATTTTTTATTTACGTGTAATATTATTTTAATAAAAAATGTGTGGTTGAAAAGAAGAGAGAGAAAAATACATTTTGAAAAAAATGACTATCAAACAGGGCCTGAATATTAATCTACCATAAAGCGTTAAATATTACAGAGTAATGTTGTAATCTTTCGAAAACCATAATTTCTAATTCTTCTCACGCCATGATTTCAACCAGAGTGCATTATGCTAGCATTGAACAACATCAACCAAGGTTGTCATTAAGTAATCTTAGTTAGAATGGATCAAATGGTGATTTTGTATAGAGAGAGATGTTCTGTTTTGACATAGTAGGTTGGTTCTCAAGTTCTTGGAACTTGAAGTGTGTGTGACTCCACAAATGCAGTGTTCTACGAACGTAACTGTTGGGAATCTACTTATACATGCACAGCGGAATTTAAAATAATTTTTGATTCCCACCAAGAATCGCCTTTATGTTTGATAGAAATTGTGATAAGATTGTACCTTTTTCTAGATTTGCAATCTTTTTGCTTTTCTTTTCGTTCCATCAACATTGATTCGCCACCACAGCTGTCCAATTGTTCAGCCTCCAACGGTGATCCACACAGAGAATAAGATTGTAGCTTCTAGAGTTTTTTTCTTGTGCCAGCAAGAATAATGAAAAACCCATATGGATCTCAAACACAAACCATGTATTTATATAAACCCAAACAGACTCGGTCCGGTCCGGTCCAATATTTAATTAATCCAATTAATTAAACCCGGTCCGTGAATTAATTAATCTAATTAATTAATTCGGGAATATAAATAACAAATCCAATTAATTAATTTATCCAACGATTGTTAAATTAACTAATTGGCAATCTGCAATCTTCCAATTCTCTTTTGTGTGCGACCCATTAGGTTCC